CCCCTGCTGGCCCCACTAACACCTCTTCCAGCAGAATGTCTGCAGCTCAGTCAGTGTGGTCTTGGCTGCAGTAACATTAATTAGAAATTAACCATATAATCTCAGCTCCATCACTTGCTTTTAATATAGAGCTAACTGTGAACATGTACTATTCAAGCAGTTCCACAGGTGTTTAAGTCCTATCTGGGTGTAGAATTGGTGTGCAATATGCCCATTAAATGTCTCTGCTTTTTGTTTGATCAGAATAAAGTGAGTGAGTTGCTGAAAGGTCCTGAGCCTCCATACTTCAAGGACAGCCAGCTGATCTCGTTGTTGCCCTTAGTCCCCGTGGACAAAAAGCCTGCCAACACTTCATTTGGAGAAGTGCTGGAACAAGTCCTGCCATCTTATGGACTGGTGAGAACATAGGAAATGATACAGACGACAGGAGGCCATGCAGCCCACATGGTCTGTTGGGTATTAGTTGCTAACTGAGGCGAGGATCTCATCCATTTAGTTTTTGAAAGACACCAGGGTACCACCTTCAAAAACATGGCCTGTTGGTTTGATCTATAACTCCACCACCTTTGCATAAAGAAGTGCCTCCTGTTCTTGGTTTTAAATCCACTTCTCGTAGGTTTCCACTTGTGTCCTTTGGTTCATGTTTCACTATTCAGAAAGACCAAGGTTCTTGCTCAGAAATTGTGAAAGACTCCTTTCAGAGGTTAACCACCTAACTGGGAGCTAGTTAAGCATTTGACTACAAATTTGTGGGAAATTATCACATATTTCAGTCTGGAGTGATTAGTTGGTGTCCTATTCACAACCTAGCATCCTCTCTGTGCTGGAAATACTGGGAGAACAGAATCTATTACGTTTTGTGTTAGTTACAGTTTGCTAATTTTCACACAGATGAATTTTCTACAGTGAACGTTAATGTGAGCTATTTTTTTATTCTTGTCAAATCTGTGACCTGTGAAAAGAATCTGAAATAACCTAAACATCTTTTTTGTTGCAGCTATTTTAATAATACCTTTTGTACATTTCTAGGGAGAGGTGGTGAAAGTGACATTTGTCAGTGGAAATCCCAGAAATTCTGGTGACATTGTAAGAAAACCATTGTATATTATTCAATTTCTGTTCTTTTCATTGTTTTACTTTATGTGCAAAAAACTCATCAAAGTCATGGTTGGTTACCGCCCTGACTTAAACCATTTGCTTCTAAATAGAAAAATTGTTACAGTATGTCCTTGGCTTTTTTGTGAGCCTCCCAGAATCAGCAGTCACCCTAATCTGAAAAAATCAAAACTAAACCGGAACTGAAAAAGAGACAGCGAACAAAAAAATTCCAATAATGCATCCTTACAGTGGTGTTAGATTCTACCGGGATTGGGAACAAATACATTCTCTACTTAAACAGGCTTTATCAGTATTTGTAGTGGTCCTGCACTTTTACAGTAGAGCACAATGCTGATGTTTCCCAATATTGTTGAAGGCTGAGAAGAGCTTCCTCACAGTGGAGCAATATGAGAACATGACGCAGCAGTGGATTGTGGTTCACACTGATGCTTCATGGGAGACAAGGTAATGTCTTTGGAACTTTTTAGAGGGCTCTTTCATAGCAATGCTGTAACACAAGAGATCTAACATAATGCACAATACAGTATATGCTTATGAAACCAATCCAACTCCAGGAAAAAAATGTTAAATTTGTACCTAAATGTGGAAGAATTTGATATTCAAAACAGCTGAGTATAACACTGCCCTGTGTTAAGAAGATGAGAAATTCCTGGATAGGTTTTGTTACAGACTAGTACATTCTGCAGAAGTGCTAAGAGTATTGCAGTGTGTTATGTGCACACCATAGAGAGGGAAGGTGCTGGTGGGGTGGGGGCTGGTGGTACTGGTTAAGCTGGAGTAAACTGGAAACTTTATTTTTATTGATTGCTTCCCCAAGTCAGAAGTTCTATAAAATGTGAATGCATTGAATGTTTAATTAATTCAATATTTTCATACACCTGTCGTCTGAATCCCTAAATTTTCATATTGGGCACGAATGTGGATCAGTTTTATCTGCACATTGTTAGTTTGACCATTTTGTTTGACGACTCCCACAAGTATTGTTTCTTGGTCTGTAAGCAGATGGCTTTAAGCAGAAGCACAATTAAATGGAGAGAAGACGTAGTGGGTGACTGTGGGCAGAGTTGTGTGTGAAGGCCACAGGGCCATGCAGGCAGTCGATGTGCTCCTGTCTGACACTGGGTGCATTGCGCTGGTGCCTCCTGAGGGGGGTCAGCACCCATAGTCTAACCACAGACAGGTGGAGCAGGTTCCCTGATGATACATTCAATGTCACCTGGGTTCGTCTTCAGTGCAGACTGCATTAATATTTGTCAGAGTGTGAACAGCAATACCATTGGGGGATTTTAAGTGCAGTAAGAAAATTTTAAAAAATAAATCTATTTTTTAAGGGTGTCTATTCCATGCAATGGAAGGCTTCCTTTAGGTTATCATTCCAATTTCTCAATTAACAGCCCTTTAATCATCTTATTATTTGGGGCAGCTCGACCCATATACCATAACAATTTACCCCAGCATTTCCATTGCTGATGCTGATGCTGTTGCTTTAGAAAACCAAGAGAAAATGAGTATTCTGAACATGCCTGATTTGTGTAAAATCAAATCAAATCAAAGTTTATTTATCAAATGCACAACAATACGGCATGCAGCAGTAGTTGCTGGCAATGAAATTTCTTTTTTCTGCAAGCTAACAAAAATTACAAGAATCACAAAAATAAAAAAAATTCACAAAAACACAAAAATCACAAAATTGAGGTTACATTTTTGAAATTGAATAAAACTCAATGTGAGTGAGCTGTTATGTGTTCATGGTGTGTGCAATATATACATGTAGTGCAGTTATGCTGAATATAGTGAGATTATGCTGAATATAGTGAGAGCATAATCTAGTAGTATGTGTAGTATGTATGTAGCAGTGTATGTAGTATGTCAGCCAATGGGAACATGAGCTTCCAGTGACAATCTTTAATCTACTCAAGCAATACTGTACATGTCTGCGGTGGGGACTTCTCTTCATGGAAACTCAGTTGCCCATCATTACTTGGATTGTGTGCTTTTCCCAAAACAGGTTTCACTGGATTAAGGGCAGTGGAGCCTTGAGCAACGTGACAGTGGAATGGCACATCCCTACCTCGGCTCTTCCCGGCTCTTACAGAGTCAGGCACTTTGGTCACTATAAAGAACGGAAAGGCCTCACCACGGTGATAAAGCCATACGAGGGAACCTCTGATATGTTTACAGTCCACAACTGAGCCTCTTTACCTGTCTGCCCTGAAAAGAAGATTGGAGCCATGTGAATTGACCTTGGTATCATTGCCTTCCAGCTAAAATGGAACAGAGCTCCTGTGTTATTTTTATAGGAATGTGTTTTGTCACATGAAATATCATGTTTCATGTGGGGCTGGTGGTGCTGTTGTACACCTGAGGAAGGTACTTCACTCCCCTTGCTCCACTTTAAAGCCCAGCTGTGTGCAGCACTAAAGTTAGTCACTTTGAAGGATACTGTAAGCTAAATAAAGTAAAGTAAAGTAAAAGATCATAAAAGTAAAATATTAAGTTTTGGCACATCTGCTCAAACTCCTGTACCATCTAGTATCTGCAACCCTGGACTAATTTCCCAAATGTGTATTTCATAAATATCCACGTTTTTTAGAAACACGATGACTTATTAACAATTTCTAAATGATCATTTGTAACTTGCAAGGTGGTTTAAAAAATAACAAATATTCTTTATTTGTAAAAGGTCCAGTAGGGAGTTGTGTTTGTTTGTGTTTGTTGAAAAGAAATAAGGTTAATTCCAGGCTGAAAAGTAAAAAGAAAAAACACATTTCAGCCCACACCTGAAAATGGCTCTTCATGCTGTTTTTTGTGCTTTTCAGTGTGGAATTAGCCTTTACTTATTTCTTATGTGTTTCTTTAAAGTCTTTTCCTCAGTCTCCCTTCAGGATAATTATTGTTCAGTGTGGAGAAACACTCACACTTCTATGTACTGTCTATCCCTGTAAACTAGAATTTGTATACAGTTGTATGTTTGTAACAACCCTACTTAAAATACCCTTTAAACTATTTTTGTGCCTTTTTAAAAGGTTGGACAGCACTCTGCTAGTACCAAGGGATGATACAGAGATTCTATTTTCTCTCCTATGATACATGTAGAAATGTCTGGTTGTAGTTAGTATAAAGGGTAAACTGTGTAAGGGAATATTTAACATTCTGGTAAATATTATGTGGTTTCAAAGAAATGCACTTTCTTTGTTAAATTCCTAGGCATTTTTCATGGAACCAAGAAGAGGATCAGACATGAATGATAATTTCCACTGTAATTTCACTCTAAATGAAACGCTTTTTCAGTGCCACTCCTCTGGTTCTGTTAATTATGCGAGTGAAATTTGGAGCACGACAAGGCTCATTTTAACATGGCAAACGCTGAAGGACTAAAAACCTAAGAACACAACACAGGTTACAAATGAGAAGAGGCCATTTGGCCCATCCAGCCGTTTGGTAGTTGGAACTGTTGTTAATTCATCCAAAGATAATCTTCTCCAGGTGTTTCTTGAAAGAAGCCAGAGCATCGGCTTCAACAAAATGGCTGGTGCCAGACTCCCACAACCCTTTGGGTAAAGAATTGGCTCCTGTTTCTGGTTCTGAATGCAATTCCTCATGGCGTTCAGTTGTGTTTTCTGGTTTGTGTTTCAAACACAAATGGGGGCACAGGGGCACAGGACTTCTGAAGAAGTCCTATGGGTAGGCTTTATCATTGCCTTTTGATGGTTTGAATGCTTGCATCCTATCCCCTCATAGTCTTCTCTTTTGAAATCTCAAAAGGTTGAGTTCCTTCAGCCTGTCAGTGTAGGACATTCCATTAAGTGCTGGGGTGTATCTGGATTGATGTTGGAGCAGCAGTGTCTTTTCTGTAATATAGTGACCAGAATTGTAAACAATATTCTAAATGATGCCTTACTAGTGCGTCATGATATTGTGCTCACATCAGCACTGAGAGTTTTGAGTTCAACTCTGCTGTGATAAATAATTTATAATTTCACAAAATGGGGCATCATTGAGAGAATGACTACTTTTGCTATATAGATTGTGTATAGGTTGCTGTATTCTAGATAGTTAGCTCAGCTACCTCATAGATCTTGAGCCCTAGTTTTATTCTAGACTACTACAACTTCTGTTTGAAGTATGTTATCCCTATGTACAGTACCTTCCAAAAGAATTCTAGTTACAGTAGGTCCACTGGTGACTTTTAACAGTCCAGTTGTGTCCCGTGATGGACAGGTGTCCTGTATAAGGTAAAGTCGGGCTGGGCTTAAAACTGAGACCATCTTTAGGACAAAGTGGTTATAGATTGCGCTGCATAAATATATAGCAGTGTTCCTTATCTTTGCTTTGCACAATTAGACAATGGGTGGTATGACTATAAAAATGAAGTGCTGTGCTTTCCATCAGATTTTGGATGCTACAAAAAGGATTGAAATTCCAGAATAAAATGACAGCTCACAATTCTTTTCTGTTGTTTAGCCAGAGTTGTCAACAAGGTGTGTGAATGGTCACAGCATTTTTTAAGAGGCTTGTGTTATCACTGGCTCGGGATAGTCTTAACACTTTCGTCTCTTTTGTCATGTGTTTGTGCAATTCAAAATAATTTGCATTTGCTTGCATGACAGAAGTGTCAGATCGCTCTTAAAACCATTTGAAAGTTTATCTGAATAAAAATAAATTACATTGGAAACTGAACTGAGTACTGTGAAATAAATAATATCCGAACAAATGAAGTAAAACAATATATTTTGTACAGTATAACACTTTATTCATATTTAGGAAAAATATACATGGCACATTACAATTATCTAAGCAATTCTCCAAGATTCATACCACAATGAAACTGTTTTTCAAAATTTCCCATTCATGTTTAATTTTTTCCCTCAATGATTTTATTTTTCAGATGAATAATTGTGGAATGTTGAATAGGATATTTCTATTTATATATCCAAAAGAATAGAACTCTATACAAATAATCTTGCATTTCTAGTACAAAAATAAGTTTTAAGTGCTTTATTCACACTTTAATACTGTTACTGTCACTGCTCTGGCTTTTTACACTTCATATGAAACAACAGTACATGTTTACTTCTCCTTTCTTTTGGTTTTAACTAAACTGCACATGCCCAGGATTAGTTCTGTTGCTGCAGTAATCATGTAACAAGTTTGTCTCACTTCATGATCTTTTTGCCAATCTGTGGACCCAACTGAACTTTCTAAGAAATCATCCAACTTCTGCCATTAACTCTCAAAAAATCTGATAAACTGATTGGTTTAATCACTGTGGGTGAGATCCTCGGTTCCCGAGCCTGAAGGGAAAGGCTCTATGACAGATTTAGCAATTTGGGTTGGCACACAGAAACCTTTGTGGCTGTGAAGTGTTGCTCTAACAGAAAACCAGTCATTTCATGGACAGTTTAAGTTTTCCAGCTTATGGGTTTGTTCCATTTTCCCCTTCACGTCCACCAAAAAAAGAAGTCATACAAGCATTATGTGTTTGGTAAATACTGAGAAATAACCTAAACATAAAGTATAGCAATATAAGCTTCAACGTTCTATAAATATATCAGACAGTAAAAAGAGGCCATTTTCTTGGAAGTCCATTACTCACGGTCTCTCTGCATTTTGAAAGAAAGTCTTTGGTGTCTTGGTGCACATATGATGAAATCAGTTTAAAACAATGTAAAGATAGAAAAAGGGATTCAGAAAAAAAACACTTCCTCTTTGTAAGTTTGGAACTATTTGTATTTACAAATAGAAGGCAGTGCTGCATTTTGTGGATGTTGTTCTTGAGACGATACTGAAGTACACTGAGACATGGGCCGATTGCAGCTTTAGTACCTTGTTCAGCTGCCTGATAGAGACAGCTTTGCCCTGGGAAACAACAAAGCCTTGACATTTTGTATTTTGTGATGCATCAGCGAGAGGCTGTTATATTTCATTTTCGCTCAAAGTCGAGTGGCAGTCAAAGTGTCTATTTTTTAAGGCTACTGGAGCCACTACATCTAGCTCCAAGAGAAAACTTGCCTGTTTGCGTGAGTTCAAATCTAAATTGAATCATGTTTCCCTTTTCCACTTGGAATAGACAACACATAAGACAGTGGTACTGCTGAGGTTTCACTAATGGAAAGATCAGCGCTTATCTTAACACCGCAACAACAAAAGGACAAAAACAGAAGGCAAGAACAAAAAAGAAAAATAATAGGAAGGGATGTGGTTTTGTAAACATCTTGTACAAGCAAACCCATTCCTGAGATAAGGCAGGATAATGCATTTAAAAAACAGATTAAATAATTTTATTGTCATCACCCACATATTTCATGTAATTATCTATCACTTTAACTAAGGCTTTCAACTACAGTACTAAATCGATCATCAGAATCAAAGCAAATCTTAAATTTAAATTGAAATCAATATGGCATAGATTGAATCACTAGGCGAGAGGCCATGACCTAGTGCTGACTCAGAAAACACCATAGCCATCTCCCTGCGTTGCCACGGCGAAGGCTGGGTAGGCCTCGTAAGTTGCATATGCTGCGAGGTCCTGTCCCAGTGACACTGCCTGTTTGAGCTGGGTGGCCGCCACAGTGGCAGTGGTGTTTGCTATTGTATACCCTGTGGTAAAGGACAAACATCAAAAGTGAAAAACGTTTCTGGAAAAAAAAGGGGCATTATAAATAAATAAATCCACACCTTCTTTTCTTACAGGAAAAATACAGTAGGTTATGCTTTCATAGCATCAGGAAAGGCAGCTACAGACTTTCAGTCTTGGAACTCCCTGTTATGAATTATGTATACTGGAACATCTTAATGTAGATGCTGTTTACAAGGATAAATGGATATTCTATAAGTGTAGATCAAATATAAATGACAGATTAGTATTGTTTGATAAACAACTTGTGAGTTTTGATTATATGCTTTAGATAACGGTATGTGCTGTCCTGAGGTTTTTTGTGGTGAAAAAACACATGTATTCAAGCCGGGGTGTCCAGGCCTGGTCCTGGGGACCCAAAGAAAACCTGCTGTTTTTTTTTAATTTACAGCTGAGCTCTCGGTTACAGATCTGAAGCCTTAATTGGTCAAATATTAAGATTAATTTGAAGTGTTCAATTTTTTTTCGGCTCCTAAATATGTAGGAGGCTGCCTGTTAGCTATCACATATCACATATTCATAAGTAAAGATCTCCAGCACTGGAGTGGGCAAGAACAAACTTGCTGAAGTTACAGTCAAGCCCCACTTGTCGTTTCAATCAAGCATTCAGTGAAGCAAAGAGCTCCGCTGGAAACGGGAAACTGGAAGGCCTGCGTGTCCTCAGGACCAGGTCTAGGACCACTGTGTTAAAGACGTGTGGGACAGCCTTACAGACCTTCACATACCTGGGAAAGCTGCTGCTGCGGAGGCCTCAGCGCCCTCTGTCTGTAGGCCCAGGATCTGCAGGGCATGCTCTGCAGCGTGCACTTTGGCTTCATCCACAGATGGGCTCAGCTTGGCCGGTGTGAATGGGTGCCTGTGGTAAAACGGCATCCTTTCAGAATTAAAAAAGGACTCCCCTGCTCGTGAATTAAAGCAGAGTCAGTGCTATCAAGAAGGTGCAAGTCTGCTGCAGCCGAAGGTGCGAGTTATCAGTATGGAAAAAGCCAGAAGGCTTTGAATAATAAATTAAGAGACTACAGTACATTTTCTAATACAGTAACAATCTTCTGTAAAGTACATCTAGCTGAAAGATAAACTTTCATCTATAAATTCCCTACTGAAGTCTAAATATAACGCCTTGCAGCTTTGTTTTCTTATCTTCCTCTTGCATCTGTGTCGTTGCAGCTCCATGAAAGCCGCATGAATGTGGAAAGAAAGGTCAGGCGTACACATTGGGGTACTGGGTGGCGAGAGCAGGGATAGTGACTTTGTATAAGAACAGCTGCCTCTGGTCTGGTCCAATGGCGGAATGAAGCTGGTAAACCGGCTGCCCCCAGTTATTCTTCTGGCAGATATCCTCCAAGATCTGCGAGGTGTAAACAACACGATGACAACAGTTTATGCATGTGTGCAAAAGCTTTTGTTTTGCGTGTATTACTTTAAAATGTGAAGGGTTTTTCAGGTACAATCGTTGCCTGCGTTTCCCTTAGTAGATATAAACAGGCTGACGCACAATAGGAAATATCACTATATAAAGTGGCTTATACAGTAGGTCTCCTCTTACAGGTGCAGAATGAGGTCCTCCTGGTTTGTACCTGTGGAGCGTGTTTGATTCCCTGAGGTTTCAAGGTTACAGGGTTCATAGGCGTGAGCTCCATCCCAGGCAGGAGGTCATAAAATTTATCTTCAGCTCTCTTGTCTCCCTTAAGCTGGTATCCTGTGTAGCTTCGGCCAATACCTGCGTAAGCAAGATAGCCACGTCCACCCATCCCACGGACTCCCGCAGCCCCTACAGGTACATTCATGTAAATTTCTAGGAATGCAAGAGGGCATCAAATCAAATCAAAGCACCAGAAATCACCTGGAGCATTAACAGTCATCCCCATCCATGCACTGTGCAGCAGTGTGGACAATGTCTTCAGCCCACCCTTTTGCCCATGTCAATAAGCACTAAGATCTTCCATCTTTCACATTTTTTACTTTGGTTTATGAGAGAGATGGTTCTGAAATGTCAGTTTTCCCAGAACAGTGAATTCTGTTCTGTTTAAAAAGAACGAAGACAAAATCCCGTTTTTACCCTTGGACAGTGCAGGCATGGGAAACAGATTGATAAGGATTTTTATATACTGTACATACAACTGAATGGACATCCTCAACAATCTAATTGTGAATTCTTATATCGTTTTCTTATTTCAGTATTAAGTTTTGATGATATCAAAAATTAAATTATCTTTCTAGTCCATTTGAAGTAAATGTAATCAAAAGTTATGAAAGCAAAATTTTAATTAACAGACTAAAAATACATTTGAAATGTTTACAGTAATATATTTCAATGTGTTTTCAAGCAAGCAGTGCTGCACTACTTATAATTAATTAATATAGAGTGAAAAGCTAATGTGACTATTACAGTGACAGATGTGCACTGCTATTATAGAGTGGATTTAAGAACTGTTCCTCTAACCCGACTACTTCAGCTAGGGAAAGGAGCCAGACAGGAATGGATTGTTTTATATTTCTAGGACAATGTTCAGCCTTCACCTAATCTTTTTGTAAGTTTTTCTTTTAAATCAGAAACTAATGGTGAAATCCATTCCTCCATTATCAGAAAATTGCGTATTGCTGATATGCGCAGTGGCAGTTGTACCTTGGAGCCTTAGGGCACAAGGTGTGGTAACTCCCTGGAATACCAGTCCAGGACGCCAGGGCAATTTAGAGACACTAATTAACCTAGCCAGCATTTCTCATGAGAGAACACGCAAACTGCACCAGTCCATAGGTGAACCCAGGACCCCGTGAGGCAACAAAGCCAAACGCTACAGTACAGTACAGACTTTAGGCTGAATTCATCTAAAACAATCGAATTAAAATGTGTTTCATGTGTTTAATCAGTTCAAATGTGCATGAGGCGCCGAGTTCGCTGAGCTGCTTCCTGTGTGAATCTATACAGTACTGAAAAAAAACCTCACTTGAGTTGGAAAACTGGTGGGGGGACGGCACGATACCTCTGATCGAGGGGCTGCGCACGATGCCGCGGGCGCCGACATGGCCCTTGGCCGCCGGGAAACGGAGCTGGCTGGGAAAGGCTGCGTAAGCCTGCGGCGCGTAGAACACCGGCGCCCCCAGGTAGGCGGCAGTGGGGTCGTACACCTGGCCCAGCGTGTAGGCGTACTCCCCCTGCAGCAGCGCACCCCGGCCGCCTGTGCCTCTGGTGTAGCGCACGTAACTGTCCTTGTCCACAGGCTTGGCTAAGGACACCTCTATCGGGGATCCGTCCACCAGCTTTGCAAGAGACAGCCACATCAAGACGAGGTTAGAACCGGCAGCCTTTTAAGGGCTTTTTGTGTACATTGCACATTGGTTCTGGGTAAAAAGGCTGGGTAAAGTAGAAAACCTCCTCACCCTATCATCCAACATGTGTTGGTGAATGGTTTTGTTTTTCCCCACATGATTTAAATTTGGTATTTAATTTCCCATTTTTGGAATTTAACTATTGAAGCCTTCTGTACCAATTAACAGAAGCTATAGTGAGTTATTTCAATTTCAGGGTGCACCCTCTTTATGTATACTATATAGGGTGTATGTGTGTTGGCCTGTTAATGATTAATTTGCAGCAGATAAATTCTATCTACCTCTATATTATATTAAAACCCGTTTATGTAAAAAATAGAGCACACCATTAAATGTTAAATACAGTTGATATACTATAAAAATCTGAATTATTCACTTATTTACAGTATGCTTCTGCATTTTTGTTATTGTTGTTATTTCTGTTATTAACAATAGTTATTGAAAATTTCAGTGAAATAAATGAATGGTTGTAAGTCAATGCCGGATTGACATATTTTGAAACTACTCGGTATGACATGGTATGTTTGAGATAAATCTTGTGGCTATTCACATTACCTTTCCATTCAATGCATTCATGGCATTGACTGCATCCTCTCTTTCAGTAAAGTGGACAAAAGCATAGTCTCGTATCTTCTTCACTCTTTCAACAGCACCTGCAGATACAGTATATTCATCAATCAGAGCAGCAAAGAATTTAATAATACAGTCATTTTATAAACTTGGTTTTCACCATAAGGTGACAAGTTGAGAAAACACAGAAAACCTAGTTAGCTTTCTGCCTCTTTCTGGGGTTTCCATATGTCTATAGGGGGTCTAGAGTCATTAAAGGTTTTTTTATGCCTTATGTTACAGTTCTTCTCCTACAAGAAGATTTACTTTTATACTGTATAATTAAGGATAGCTAGATAAAGTGATCTCTTCCAGAATGAGGAGTTCCTGGCCTAATCTCTTGTATTAAGTCAAAGTATTAATCTGGCGATGGATGATTGTAAACATGCTGTGCATTCAGACTTGAGACACTAACATCATTCTGTTAGAATAAATTGGTTTCTTCTATGTAGTGAATGAGTAAGCTTAACCTGGCTTGGATTAATTCCCAATTTTTGGAGAGTCCTAATGCATGTTGTCTCTGAATGAGTAATTTTTAAATTTTTTTTTATTATTATATGTAGTAATTTTTAAAGATCTGAGACAATTTAAGCGAACCAGTTCCCTTAACTGAACAAATAACTTGCTTAATTTGTTGATAACTTCCAAGTGTGCCCTGTTTTTAAAATAATGAGTGATGAAAGATGACTTATAAGGCTAACCGCACTGGGGTTCCTCAGGAACAGCATTGGAGACAGCACAAATAGACTGTCCTTTTGCATATAGTTTAGAAATGCTGTTGGGTTAAAATGACCAAGAATCACTGCTCACCTGGCTTCAGACTATTAAATTCTTTCTCTATCGTCTCCTCTGTGGTTGACAACATTAGGTTCCGCACGTACAGGATTTTAACTGTGGCCATAGTGTCCTCATCCACTTCGACCTCTGGCTCGGCCCAGTCAACGGCGATGGCATGTCCCCACAGCTGGATCCTCCCTAGAGAGATCAGGCATGATGTGAGGCCATGTTACTGTTTATGAAGCACGAGCCTTTGCTAAACAAAAAACATCAGCTCATTGTTATTAATATGCATTTGGTAATGCTGTTTTTGAAAATGTGACCAATTCTAAACATGCTTATTCATGGTCCCTACACCTTACATTGGATGGCTTTAAGTTGTTTCTTTTTCAAACTTGTGTTCTTACAAGGGTATACCTATATCTAACTGTAATAACCTTATTACAAAAATGCCTTTCTCTTCTTTGTTATGGGTCAGTTTTCTGTACTTGTGAGAAGACTTGAAGCCTGTTGCTCTACAGAAATATAAACAGTTGTGTGCTAATGCATTAGACTTGAGTGATGAGTTCCTGTAGATTTTCAGGGTGGTTTAACGGAGTCGTGGTTAGAAAATCCTTGTCAACACTGCTGGCAGAACAGAACTAGCTTGTGGTCCACCAACACCACTTGTAGCAGCAACCTAGTCTCCCCTCTCAGTGCTGATCAGACTCAGCCGTGCATAACAGAAGAGATCCTGGCTTCAAGATCTACTTTGAGTTGTAGTACTCATTGCCGCTTTTGATAGATCTCAGTTTAAGTGATATTGGCCCCCAGAGCCAATTTCCGCCTGGAATTTTCTCCCCTTAAACAATTAGTTATACTGTATCTCTGCAGCAGAACATAGCAGAGGCCTGGTTCAGGAATAGAGATTGCCTTTTATCATTATTTATCTTAATTATTTAAGATGTTGCACATTACATACATCTCTGCTGTGTTGAAAAGTGACCAAAGTAAATGTGCAGCCATTTGAACATATCAGAGAACCAAAAGACTGAAATACAAGTTTAATGGGCTTTAGGATTAGTGATTGGCATTGCCTGCAAACTGTTCGGGATTGATAAGGCAAAGCACTCAACAACTGAGATCTAAAGTAAAAGCAGCTCAGGCCTTCTTTTTAACATAATTACAGTGTTTTTAACTGGGAACCAGAAATCACAATTGACCAAGGTCAAGTTTAAAGGGACATCTCCTGACAAAAAATAATCACAGAAGATGCAGAACACTAAATGAGGGAATCAGTATCATAAAATGGAAAAGGCATCAAGACATGAGCTTTATATCCTCCATAAACCTTTTAGCTGTGTAACATTTGGCCTTTATTGGAGTTTTACTATCTGGGGAGGAGTGCTCTTCACACTTCATAAAAGCATTGTTTCCCAGTAACACTAAGAGTGTTTTCAAAGGTTTTGGGATTCATCACCCTTTGTGGCATTGCTTGCCAGCTCATTAGGATTATGAACTGTGGTCTGTTCTGGTTTCAGACTGCTGTGCCACTGTTGTTCACATGCTTGTACTCCAGCCTCGTTCACTAACAGCTTGCTGTGTGGGGTACCTCCCACAGTACCAGTAGGTTATATGTTTACTAAGCCATAGTCTTCTAACGGTTTTTGACTTGAACCTCCAAAATATCTATGAATGAACAAAGCAGGTGACCAGTAGATATTACTGTTGTTGTGCATTATGTTTTGAAGTAGCTCTAATTTTTTAATTCAAGTGATAAACTGTTACAGGATGGAACTTTTAACTAGAGTTACACAGTTCCTTAAACCTACTGTATGACCACTGACCTGACTTCCTCACCTGGAAGAAGTTTCCTCCTGGCCATGGCTGCAGCTCGATGGCTTTCATACTCCACAAAAGCGAATCCTCTGTTCTTTGTTTTGTCAGCCGCACTGGGATATACTATTACATCAACTACTCCATCTGTCACTTTCCGCATTTCTGCTAAAATCTCGTCCCGCTTCTTAGTTTTAGGGATACCGCCAACAAAGAGGCGGCAGTTATCCACACTTGCACATACTCCCAGAAGTCTTCCATTCCTCAGAAAAGACACACACAGGAATGTATTAATTCTTAGGCATATCATCAAGCAGACCCAGCAACCATTCAACTGAAAGGACTGTTGTGCCCAAGAGTCAAATCTTGAAAAAGTTGAATGCATGTATATGAAATTAATTCCTTCAAAAATTGTTTTATATATTTTTGTGAAACCACTCAGTTTTATTTTAGAAATAATGGTTTATTTTAATTTCACATACACTTTTTCCCTTAACTTGCTACTGTATCAGCTGTAAGGGAGGAATAGATGGGAAAATACCATACCATACCATCTATGAAGACTGTAAATATGCAAAGAATCTTACCTTATTTCATAATTATTTAATTGTTTCATGGCATTTTTAGCTTCTTGTTTATTGGAGAAAGTTACAAATGCATAACCACGATTATTTCCATTGAAGTCCATCATCATTCGCACCTCATAGATTTTTCCAAACTGAAAAACAAGCCCAAATGATTTTTT